CAACCCTATCACGAATGAGCTACACCAACCCTATCACGAATATAATCATTTCACAGTGTAAAGCCACTCATCCACACACTCATCCACATAATCATTCTCATATCGGAAACACTTAACTTAGTATTATGCTTCTCTTTTAAAGGCCACCATTTAGCGCCATAAAGTATTGCAGGTCTCACCACAGTCTTATAAAATTTTCCTTTCAGTCTAAGCAATACTTTTCTATCACACAAAATGCCCGAATCATTCATCCACTTCAACCAATTAACTTGAATTCTACTATTAATATCCCCATCTATATCACCATTGCTTTACCCGAGATATTTAATCATTCACACATTTTAATAATTTGATCACGCATAGTTACACTTCTGTCACTAGGCTTTTTCTCTCGTCTTATCCACGAGAAGGATATCATCAGCAAAAAGCATAAACCAAGGTACATCCTCCTGTAAATTTCTAGTGAGACCATCCAAATCTAAAGCAAAAAAATATGGGCTTAAAGCCGATCTCTGATGTAATCCAACAGAAATAGGAAAATATTTGGTCAATCCTTCTTCAGTTCGAACATAAGTAACAACTCTAGTATCCATATCTTTAATGACTTGAATATAAGTCATTTCAACACCTTTCTTCTCAAGAACTCTCTAAACGATATCTCTTGGAACCTTATCATAAGCTTTTTCAAAATCAATAAAAATCAAAAATAGGTTCTCCTTATTAACACTGAATTTCTCCATTGAACTTCTCAATAAATGTATAGCTTCCATAGTAGACCTGCCCGACACAAATCCAAATTGATTATGAGAAATCTTTGTAATACGTCTTAACCTATGTTCAATTACCCTCTTCCATAATTTTAAAGTATGACACATCAACTTAATTCCTCTCTAGTTTGCAAACTCTTGTGCATCCCTTTTATTCTTAAAAATGGGGACCAAGATAATCTTCCTCCACTTCTCAGGCATTTTTTTATAATATTATTTAGTAAGCCAAGAAACTCGCAAATCTCTTAAACATTTCCATACTTCAATTGGGATTCATCAAGTCCTACAGACTTTCCATCGTTGGTTTTCTTTAAAGCCTCCTCAACTTCTTTTTTACTAATGTGACAGTAAAAATGAAACGTTTTATTATTATTAGCGATATTAAGATCACTAAGATTGATCGTATTTTCAGAAACTTCATTAAAAAGTTTATCAAAATGACTCACCCACCTATGTTGAATATATTTTTCTAATAAAAACACTTTTTGACTTTCTTCTTTAATACACTTTACTTGAGTTAAATCTTTATTTTTCTTTTCTCTCTGTTTTGCTAGTTTATACATATAGTTTTCACCCTCCATAATATCTAATATCTTATAAAGATCTTTGAAAACACAATTTTTAGCATCACATACTGTTCTCTTAGACTCCCTGCGGGTCGTTTGATATTTTTCCCAGTTTTCTAAGCTTTTGAATTTAAACCAATTTTTATAACATAACTTCTTATATTTTATCTTTTCTTGCACATTATTATTCCATCACCAACTACTTTTATTTAAAGAAACTTTTTCTTTTGATTCTCTAAGTACATCTTTTACTACTTGTTTAATACAATTTGTTACTTTAATCCCTCATAGCATTTGTTTGTTTCATCATGAACATCCCAAAATTTGAAATCTTCAATTTTACTCATAAAAATAATTTGATTTGTGTCTTTTAGGTTTCCCCATCTAATTCTATGATAATGAGTCATAGTATTCTTTATTTTATAACGCTTATTTTCACTCAGACCGAGTCTTTTATTTTATCTTTCAATGTATTTGATAGAATCCCTAGAATGAGTTTGTATAAAAAATAAGGTACAAGCATGAGTTTTGAGGTAGACGAGTCATCAAACCACATGGCAGGGACCAAGAGTGGCAGCTCGTGTCTCTCACCTTACGTCTAAATTCTATTTTTGTATAGATCTAGGACCAGACATGTATATGTGGATTTCAATCGCATTTTCTGCTTTCTTGAGATATGTTGCCGACTCAATGACAATCGACATCTTTTTTATATCTTTTAGAGTGCTTTTACTTTATGTTGAGTGCCTGTATGTCTGAACTGCTTTTATTGTTTATTTCCGTGTATCTGGGATATCATAAAAAATATAATCTAGGCTCATTAAGGACCTTAAAATTATAATTTTTCTATTTAAAAATCCTAATAAAAGATTAAGATAATAAAAATTTTAAGATTAAACTATTTAGGACTTTTAAAATTTGTCATTTACTTTCTTGCATAGCCTCCGGGCCAATTTTAAAACGGGCTGCATTCATGACCATAACCCAGGCATATTTAGTAGGGCCTCCACACTTAGAATTATGGTAGATAACTGCATCATATTTGTTTAATGAGATACATATACAAATTATCACATCTGGCTTTATTTTTTGGTCTGATTGTTATAGTCTCTCATCGCCACTCCTCTATACTTGCTACTTATCTCAATTAGTTTAAATCTTAGACAAACACATTTGCTTAAACTCATTTTCAATGTCAGAATTTAAGCTTATAAATGTAGATAATCCATGTAAAATTGTTATACTTGATTTATATAAACAACCATTAAGCTCCATATACCATAACAATTTAAAATTAATCTATTAAACAAAAAAAATTGTTTAATTTTAAATAATCCAAAAATCAATTTATAGTTGAGAAGCGAATTATTTTTATTATTTTTACTTAATTAATATTAATAAAAAAATCTAAGTTAAGTAATGTATTATGACACACC